GTCTTCAGTTTCTGAACCACTGCAGCACATATTTTTCCACATGCAGAATTTTGTCTAAACAGCTGACACCAAGATATTAAGTTGTTTATAGAAATATGAACTCCAGTTTAAGGACTTTTATTACATAAATAAAAGGACAAAACCAAAATAACTAAGGGAACTTGAAGGGACATTTAACATCTTGCTGAGTATATTTCCAGAGAACAAAATGAAGCCTATCCCTGTCAAACCTACTACTGCCAAAGTGCTATAATAGTATTACCATTCCAGACCATGCAAGCTACTTTTCTCTTCTTTAATCACTGAATCATCTTCCCTGGTTTAGGCCACTAAAGTTCGATTCAATTTGATTCTTGCCCGCAGACAACATTTTTAAGTCAGTCACTTTGGTATATAATCTCTGAGGTTCCAACTTCTTTGACCATCCTGCTAAAAGCTATTCTCTGATGCTTTCAATGCTGCAATCTCTTCTTCTTACTGTATTTTTTGTCTTTTTTTTTCTTTTTGGGGCAGCGGGAGGGAAGAATGGAGCAGGGTGTTGGTGGTTTTCCATGGGGTTTGCTCAGTTTCTGGTCTTTTTATAAAGCAACAATTCCAGTTAACTCCTTAAAAAAACTTAAGCAAAATATGAAGTGATCTATCCAGAGATCCCACGCAAAACCGTACATTTGTGCCTTTAGCTTGGTGAGACATTAGACACACAGTAAGATACTAATATTTCAAAAACATCAACTTACTCTAGTACTGCAGAGAGATTCCTTGAAGAAATCACTTTATGTAGGACCTACTTAAGGAAGTTCTTTCGAAACAGGAAAAATCTATGTAAATAGTGCACACATGATAAGTCTGTTTTATTGCTTGTGTCTCATCATTAAAACAAAACATGTTCCCATGGTGCAACAGATGCTTCCTGAGGCAGATCGCCTCCCACCAACACATGACTAAACCCTCAGTAATACCACGTTCTCCCTTTCAGTTACCTGTTTACAGCCTACCTCTTGAAACCAACTTCAACAATTGCAATGCTTGATATATAAAGTAAAAGTATCAGCAGCTAGGTCTGATAGGAAAATTCGTATTAGCCTGCCCTCATAATAAGTATAGAGGGCTTTTTTCCTTCCTTTTTCCTCTTCTCTGCTGTACCATACCAAATAATAAGTAAAAACTAACTACTCCATGCTCAGACTAGAGCCCTCTAACTTCCTCAGAAGACTTCTACAAAATCCCTCATGTTTTGCTAACTGTTAAATCCCATGCCAAAAATTTAGATCAGGATTCTTCACATCAAGCTCATCAAGGCCAAATTCAAGTTTCTTTCCAATCCGTACAAAGCACGTCCAAAGGTCTTCCAGTATCAGACAATTTTTGAGGAAATAAGAAGTAGCTTCATTCAAGTTTTCTAATATCCTTGAAAAACTCCTTCTTTACAGAATGGTTTTAGTGGGCCTTCATTTTACAAGGGAAAAACAAGCTACAACCTAAAGCAGAGCATGAAAACACTAGGAAAAATTAACTGCATGCAGATGAAATGGCTGGAATCACTGTTGGGAGTTAACTGGATTACCAAATTTAAGAAGTTAAAATAAATAGTTCAACATCTTTAGCTCTTTCTACCTTCCTGTCTCAAAATAACTTATTTACAAGAACTTCCTTCCTTGGTGTAAATATACACTTGTAACACTGTTGTAGTGCTGGTAAAACAGCAGAAAGTTATTCTACTTTGTCACATTCCTCCTGCCAAGTAAGCTAATAATGAACATCTAATCAACATACTCAATACGCTGCTCTTCAGGAGCCTTGCAAGTAAAAACCATGCAGCATAAAACAGAAAATCCATTCCCTGCTGTTAAGTAAAATCCCTATATTTCATGTAAGCTTTACTCCTAAAAAGTGGGGTTTTTATTTCAGTCCTCATTCTTCATCAAGATAAGTAGCAACACCCACTGTGACAGAATAAAAAAAAAAAAAAAATCTGCTTCTGAAATGTAAACAGGACGTATTTGCTATATATTCAGGCCTACTGTAGTCAGGTAACTATGTAACTATATTGTGTAAATGTAGATCTTTTAGGATAATGGTAAAGATTAAGTAAAAGCACTACAAGAAAAGCAGAAGTTACTAGCTGAACTTGCAATTAAACTGCATTTCTCATTAATTTCAGGTTTGCATTTAATGTCTTAGAAGAAAAAACTCCATGCAAATACATATTCATCACTGATTTGCATGGAAATTATATCTAGAAAAGTGCTACTTTGCAGGGAGTGGGTTATTAAATATTTCTTCAATAATTAAAAATGAACTAGCAGAAACAAGGGCTACAATTAAGTCATCTTATTTTATGCACAATGTGTAGTTTGAACATATAGTTTCACTCATCTCTAATTACCCCAGCTGAACAGCATGCCTCATCAACTATTATAATTTCAGCCATTTAAACAGGTTTTTAGAGTAGCTTCTGTTGCTTCCTTTGGAACAGGAAGAAATTTAACATCAGATATAAAGATGGTCCACTGGAAACCAGGACAAATCCTCTGAACACTAATAAAATATTTCCAATGTATAAATGTTTCAGTATTTTCTTTTAACTTTCTCAACTTCAATGTATAAAAAATGCAGTACAAGTCAAGAGAAACAATCAAAGTACTGAGAAGTTCCCCAGGAAGCTCACACTCCATCACTAATGTTTCAGTTTGCAGACTGTCCCAAATCTTCTGCAATAACAAAGGTAGACTATATGCATTATTTTTGAAAAGCCATGGCAGTCAGGTGAAGTCCCTGGTGATTAGGAAAAAGGAAACATCACTCATATTGAAAAAGCGAAGAAATGCAGACCTGAGAATATAAATAAAGACCATTGAGCCTTGCCTCTATGTTTTGGAAGACTGTGGAACAGATCCTCATGGTAGCAATGTTGCAACATACAATGAGGTGATCTGAGAAAATCCAGCTTGGCTTTACTAAGAGCAAATAGTGTCTGACTGATCTGGTGGCCTTCTATGATGGGGTGACTGCAGTGGTTGATGAGGGGAGACCAAACAAATGTCCCCTACCTAGACCACTGAAAGATCTTTCACACAGTGCCACATAACATCCTTATCCCCAGACTGGAGAGGGATGGGTTAGAAGGGTGGATCATTTGATGGATAAGGAACCACCTGAATGGACATAGATGTCAATCATTCTATGTCCAGGTGGAGGCCAGTGATGAGTGGTGCCATTCAGAGCTCTCTCTTGGGACAGGGACTCCGATACCCTCATCAACAACACAGACAACACAACACAGTGAGATCAAGTGCACCCTCAGCAAGTTTGCAGATGACATGAAACCAAAGAACACAGTTGGACTAAAAGAAGGAAGAGATGTCATCCAGAGGGATCTGGACAAACCTAGGAAGTGGGCCCATAAGAACCTCATGAAGTCCAACGGCAAGGTGTTGCACCTTGTAAGGCAAAACATGAGCACAGACTGGGAGAAGTCATTGAGAACAGCCCTACCAAGAAGGACTTGGGGGTGCTAGTGGATGAAAAGCTGAACATGAGCCAACAGTGTGCACTCACAGGCCAGAAAGTCAGCTGCATCCTGGGCTACATTCAAAGAGGAGTGGCCAGCAGGTCTAGGGAGGTGATTCTGCCTCTCTACTCTTGTGAGATCCCACCTGGAGTGCTGCCTCCAGGTCCTCAGCACAAGAAAGACACTGACCTGTTGGAACAAGTCCAGCCAACCAAGATGATCAGAGCACTGGAGCACCTATCTTAAGACAGACTGAGAGAGCTGGGATGTTTAGCCTGGAGAAGGTTCCAGGAAGATTTTATTGTGACCTTCAGTACATACAGGAGTAGTATAAAATAAGAGAGAGAGCAACTTTTTACACAGTCAGATAGTGACAGGATAAGGGAGAATGGTTTTAAATTAAAACAGGAGAGATTTAGACTACATGTTAAGAACAAATTCTTTACTCAGAGGGTAGAGAGGCACTGGAACAGGTTGCACAAAGACATTGTGGATGACCCAATGCCTGGAAGAGTTCAGGGTCAGGTTGGATGGGGCCTGTTGATGCTGTTTGCACATAGGCACACAGGAAAGTAAGTAGCATCACATTTAATATGACAATGATTCATAGCTTAACTCATTCTGGAAGAACAACCTTCCCCTAGATGTTATAGAAAAGGATGACAAAATGGAGCTAGATTCTTCTCCCATTCATCTACAATGAGAATGGGTATCAGAACCACATGACAGTACCCTCATTTTTAGGGGACATCTTCACTCCCCTCGGTTCTCAAGCGTGTGCCTAACAACAGCCAGATAGCAAAATAAGCAAGCACAACGAAATTACACAGACATTTCCATTCCTACCCAGTAATTTTGAGAATCTCAATGGTCAAGTTGAGTAAATGCAAGGGCAAGTTCTTTGCCAGGACCACCACCAGGAGCCTACCTATCAAACTCATTCAAGCACAGACACAAAAAAGTTCCTTAGGTTGTAGGACTTAATTTACCATTAGTAAGCACAATATTCTTAATACTTGCCTGTAAAATGTAAAAAAAACCCAGAAATCTTTCTTCTAGATTGCTCTCTGTAACAGGTATTGCTTTACACCATGAAATGCCTGCAACAGATCTAAGGTAAATAGGATAGCCCAGTGATGCTTTAACCAAGATGATTTTGAGTGAAGAAACTGTAACAGCAAGCAATGGATCACTTCGCTGCTTTCCTGCAAGTTAGATCTTTCACCTTTGCCCACCTCTTACACCGACCATGAAAGTAGCAGCTTTTATAGAGTCATACGAAACTTTCCTTTAGGCTAGAACAGTGGACAGGAATATCCCATTTCAGACAAATATAATAATTAGACTTTCCTTCCATGTTTTTCTGAGAAAGGGGCTGAATTAAGAATAGCAACAACTACTCAAGTGCTGAAAGATAAAGAGTAGCTACGCAAAACAAAAGGATAAAAAAGACTTCATGTATGCACAAGTGAAGTTTTTTTACTCCTACCTCATCGCTTTCATCTACTTCAATACCACCATCTTTGTCATCATCCATTTGCTTATGGATCATGCGGAGAGCTTCTAGGCTGAATCGGTCCTCCTCGGTAAAGCACGGGGGGCTGAGTGAACTGCAGGGATCTATAGTGAGGAGGACAAAAAGCCACAACACAACAGAAATGTTATTTACTTTCACTTCAGAATAGAAAACATCCAAGCAAAACAAAGGGTTTAAAATTCTGTATTGTGTACATGTAGTTCACTGCACATAATCATCAGGTCACAGATATCAAATTTAACTGTAAAATAGTAATTGTACTAAAAAAGTGAAAGGCTTGTGTGTGCAAATCAACTTTTTTTTTTTTTTTTCCCAGGAAGGAGTCCCAAAAATAGGCTAAAATAGTTTTGGCTCTTCAAATTATTTCTTCCATCCCAGTAACATACTATATCAATTTTTTCTTCTATCATCCACCTTTAGTTTATGTCAGTGCAGTGGCAAATAAAGCTACTGCATTTCCTAATCTCCCTCCTGAAAGTCTGAACAAAACAAAGAACAAAGGAATCATACAATCATAGTTTCATAAACAGGTAACAAAGGGGGATCATAATCACATTGCAGATGGAATTCTAAATAGGTAGTACTACTGAACACAAAATACTCAAGGACTGCAAGAGCAGAAAGCACACTGCAAAGAAAATTCAGCTGATAGTATTACATGATGTATGTAAGTCCTGTACACTCTGATCACAAACTGCAGTCACTGTAGAGCAGGATTCCAAGTCAAAAATAGTACATTTTCATTTGCATTCATTACTGAAGGCTCATGATTTGAGCACATCTGATGGCTCAGCTTGCACCACATCAAATTGCTACATCTGTGTTCTCTCCCTTCTACAAGGTACATGCCAAATGCTCTGTAGTTCTACAATGCATGATGATCAACCATCACCACAGTTGCCTTGCACAGGCCTTGGCATTAACTAATAGCAGCTATTACATGAATTCTGATGTACTGAACACCAGCAAAGAACAGAAGGTGGAGAAGGATACAGAAATCATTTTTTCAAAGTTGAACTTGAATAGGGTAGTGAATTCCCACTGTAATAGGAATTATAAAAATGCACTGATGAGTTCCATAAATTGTAACACGACGCTTAAATCATATCAATGCAAGCAAAAATTGAGGGAGCATATGAGTAATTTTTGCTTCTTCTAATCTATCAAAGAAGTAAGCTTTCATGTTGCTATAGAATTTATTAAAGTCTCACATAAGTAAAGGAAGCACATCTACAAAAAGAGAGGAATCAAATGTTTTCAGAGAAAAATAAGTTTTTTGGTTTAAAATTTCACATCAGCTGGATTAGCATGATTCTGCTTTTCTGTCTAATTTAAATTTTAAATTAATTAAAAATCAAAATAAAGGAATGCATAAGGTTACAAATCAGGAAGTGCAAGGATAACAACCATGACATAGCTGGAATCGCAGACATATAATTAAGAGGACTGATTTCCACAGCTAGACATGAGTCAATGCATTCTTACTTCATACTTGAGTTTTATTATACAGGAGTTAATGGAAATCTGTTATCTGTTCTCATGAATCAATTAAAAAAAAACAAATAAAAGAAAGTCAGCAGAAAAAACCGAAAGACTTCACTGACACTGTCCAAGAACTGAGGTATTGCTTTTAGAACTACTTCACATAATTCAAAGAGATATTTCTATATTTATTAGTTACTAAATATTAATGAATATTAATTAATAAACCACTAATAATTATTACTATTAACATAATGCTAATATAATATTAATAACAAATCAATACTAAACCAGACCAATCACAAACAATATAATTGTCATCTTTAGAAGGCAATTAATATTTTATGAAGTGGGGCAAGTTTAATTTTAAATATATGTATTTTATTTGTCTATTTTGGGTTTATTACAAAAAGTTTAATTTGCACAATACTAAGCCTTTAGATTTTTGCCTTGCAATGAAAAAATACTATCCCTGTAGGGGTTAAATGACCTATCCCTGAAATTACAGGGTGCTTCATATAGAAAGGTTTCTCTTGCAATATTAATGAATCACCTCAAAGTTCTTCTAATAATTAAATTTCCATGGCCATGAACAAAAAATATTATTTTACTAAAATACAATCATATCAGAAGAACAATATTTTTATTATAAATTTTGATCTACACCGTATCTTGTTAGAAGAAAGCCTAATTGTCAAAACATAAACAGATCCCTCAAACACACCAAACTTGTTTAAATTGTACTTAATTCTATTATAATATGGAATTAAATTTCAGATACATGTGTTCAGTTTGCAAGCATCTTCTCAAATGTTTTTTCATTTTGTTCAGCTGAAAGCCCAGTTTTCAAATCAAAAAGGTTTTCTCGGAGTACATTTTCTCCCAACAGAGGCTGATCAGTCCCTTAATCAGGGTATTTATCTTAAATATGCCTTTTTAGGATATTTAAGCATGAAGGCACATTAAAGAGCTATGGCTTTTCTTGAGAGAAGTAAACAGGCTGCTTGTGCTTCAAATGTCCCATGTGCTGGCTCCAAGAACACTTGATCTCTCTCTCAAGAGCCGATAGAGTGCCAATTGCTCTTTTTGGGACTGCCAAACAAAGTAGGACCACACATCAACTGTAATAAAAATTAACCCACTCTAAAGAGAACCCAGATTTAATTTCAAGCTTGTTTTCATCTGGAAAAATTAAGCATTTAGACTAACAACACTGTTCTCTGAGGGAGGGGATGACCAATCTCAAAACAAACTACAAAGCCACAACCTAAAGAATAAGTGAAAAGCATTTCACAAGCATACCTATGGAGCCCTACTAAATCCAAAAAACAGCTGATGGAAATTTAATCATCTGTAGTTCTGCAGAACATTCTATCATGAAGTACTTTGCCTCAATTGCATGGCAAAAACAATTCAAATTAATACTAGATGAAGTATGGTTACTTAACTAATGTCTGGGAAGTTTTTAAGACAAAAGCCAAGACAAAAAGTCTCAAGACAGCAAACACGATAAACACAGGGCTGAAGCCCCACAACAAATCATGAGACTAGTTGATATTTTTTTACTTTGAATCAACACTATTGAAGATGCTCTGGGATTCCAAATCTTCTCTCATACTTTAAGTACAAGCCTAATTTAATGTCTAGACCAATTTCTCCATCCTAGTCTGGTGTTGCCATAAATACACTTAGTCCAAAATCATCACCACAGGAAAGAACAGATATGATAAATTCACTCATGGAGCGAACCAATTTGAGCTTTCCTTCTATGAAAAGCACAGAATTAGCAAAGGAAACAAAAGAGACAAGGTGGGAAAGAGGCATAAAAGCACAGCAGATATCACTCCAGGCATGAGTTATTTTATAATATAAGTTATTATATTATATTTTTCATGTTGCTCAGAAGTAACAAAGTTTCAGAAATATTGGAAGAAATAAGGAAGGAATTTTCTCCTAAAAAACTAAATGTCAGACTCGTGGCTCAACAAACTGTTTCAAAGGATTTTGAAACAAACATTCTTCCTGCCTTGAGGCAGTAACTGCCTCCCAGCTCTAAGGCAAGGGGGGCAGTCCTCTCCAGTCCATAGGAGACAGTCTGATGATGCACCAAGCAGTTATCCAACCCAGGATAGAGCAAACTTTGTATTTATAGATAAAGGGAAAATAACACTTCACACCCTTTCTCCCCACCCCTCCTTTCCCCCACTTCAGTTTTCTTCAGTGAGACTAAAATAAGGTGAGACTACAAAAAGAATTTCAGTTTGAAATTCCCCTCAACCTTAGAATTATAGCTCTTTACTCAATTTCCTAAAGACAACAGAAGTTAAAATGTGACATTGTCAATAAAAGCCAGTAAGGGAAATTAATTACACCTTTATCTTCAAGTGCTTATCTCAGAAAAGCCCCTGAAATTTATTTAGGAATACACCATCAGAAGAGACTCCAAAGCAAAAGGGTATATGTACCTCATAGTCTTTCATCCATCTTATATTTGCTTCTCCCTAAACAGCTGCAAATGTTACAGACTTCAGAATAAAAAAGGACTGACAGACCAACTAAAGGGGAATAAGCCTGCAATTCTCTCACACACCACCTTTTGCATACAGACACCGGAGCACAAGAGCCATGGCTGTGCCAAGCCTGACAGAAAGACTCCAACCAGGTGTTCACAACTGCAGTCTGGAACTTTTCAAAGCATGAAAGAGCCTTTGTAAGAATACAGGGACACACAGAAGCTTCATGATTTTTCACAAGTACCTGGAATTAGGTAGATACTTCCAAATCTAAAACTGAAATGCCTTTAAATTTTCCCATTGGTTCACTCAAAGCAACGTAGCAGTTGGGAGTTATTTCAAGAGACTGACTACCACGCATCATTTTTGTTCTGTGAGGATGTTCAGCATTTACTAAGAAAGAAAAGCATGTTTTTTATAGTAACATATGGCAGTCCTATGGAAGCCTGCAGGGTTTCCATGCCTGTAGTCTACTGCTGAATTCAGAAGTGTACCATGTTGTGCTACGTTTATGATTCCTCATTCCTAAAAAGCCATATGGGATAAAGGGAAGCCTCACAGAAAAGGCAAGCACTATAAAGCATCAGCTTCCTAAGTATGTACTCTCATCTTAAAATAGCTATGCTTCAGTATGCCATGATGACAGAAATGGATTTCTTTGCATTTTCCAGACACAAAGGAGGCCCACAATATGTCCAATCCCCTGCCAGATGAATATTTACCTAACTGGGATTCCTATTTCCTCACATTTCTGTTTTACATGAATGTTAATATATTGCAGTTCCTTAGTCAATTCAGTGACACCTTTCAAGGCAAAAAACCTTTACAAGAACAACAATTTTTGAAGACCTGAGTACAACCTGGAGTGTCAGCAGGGTTTAATGAAAATACTGAAAAGAAAGTGTTTTCAAGAATTTTACCTGATGTTCAAAATAAATTTATTCACAGTAAAGGCAAATATGTTTTTATGTTAAATCCTTACATAAGGTGTCACTAAAATCTTCAAATGCTTGAGACAGCCTCAGAGTGAGCTTCTTTAAATCTTTCAATTAAAAGCTCTCAAAGCAAATCACTCCTACTCTTAATAA